TGTTTATTAAGTGGGTAGATAGATTTTATTTATTCAAGGGTAAGGACCATCTTCCGGGGTAATGGTTAATCTTTATATATGACAAGTATTATTCATCTTGTGATTCAGAATAGGTGGCTATATAAGGTTCTTCTAAAACTTCTAAGGAAATAGCTATGAGCTTTTTGAGAATACAGTGTGGGGAAAATCGAAGCGGGTTCTCTTTGAGTTGTCAAGGACGGTAACTACCGGTTGTCTTCGAAGGAAGATTTTAATTCTGCGCTGTTCTGGTTCGTTTGACGAAGGAGAGTTTTTATCATTCTTTTTATTCATCTTTGTAAAATCTTTAAAAAAATTTAGGGAAAAACGAATCACTCTGTATGGTGATTATCAAGGGATGTTGTAGATTCTTTTGAATCGAACCAGATAAAAATTCTGGGTTGAATTTGCTTGCTCTCTATACTTTGTACATTTTACGCATTAACCCACTGTGATGGAATGTATCTAAGAAAATTAATTTCCTAAAACTGACCATCTTTTAAACGAGTTTAATCGAATGGAACCTAATAATATTGAACGAAGGGTAACAACTCAACACTTGACCGAACGATTCCCAATAATCATTTGACCGAACGGTACAAAACAAAAACAGTAACTAAATCAGCACCTAACTGAACGGTACTACAACAACCCTTATACTAGACATAATATATGTAAATTACACACAGACTAATAATCCAAGATTAATATCATGTGAAATTTCTAATCACCTGACTCACAACACCCAACCAAGGATTCATACCACCCATTAAAGGAGTTGTCTTTTCTTCACACTTATCTTGCCTTAAATTAAACCCATTTTAACTTGATCAACTTCTGAATATATAATAGTTTGTGTTCCTTAAACTCAACACTCTTAAACCATAACCAACCTATAAAATCGATGAAATATCAACCTCTTCTATGATCACGCCTTAAATCTATGAAAGAATGACCAATTATTCAATTAGACTAAGATCTTAAAATACTTAATTTTCTTCTATATCTTGCCTTATCTGGACTGCTTCCAAAATCTCTCTTCTCTTATTTATTTTATTTTTATTTATTTTTTTTTTTAACCATATCTATTGGGAGATCCAACCATTACTGATACAATCGATCCATGTTACAATCTCACACATGCCTATCCCGTTTCTCACCAACACCTTCCTTCTCTTAGACTATTTAATGTTACTGATATAGTAAACGAACAACTGATTTCTCAACATTGCTACATCATGCTTATCCAAGAGCTTCTCTTAATCCGGTAGCTCCTTTTGAACTCAACTCTATCGTAAGATATACTACATCATCCTGATTTGGTTCTGGAAAACTTCTTAAAACATTAACTTCATAAACATCCAACATCTTTACCTTCTCTTTTGAAGCCTAAAACTATTTTAGTCTTCAGACCACTTATCTTCGAGGCAGATTTGTCTCAGGCTTAAACTATTCTAATAACGGTATCAACTCAAGTTTGTCCTTGATCTGATTCCTCTACTTTAGAGAGCACTTACAAACCACCACAAAGCAAGAAACAAGACATGAATTAACTACAGGACACACAACACTAAAACTCTAACTCTTTCTAACCTCAACCAACCTTCGAGATTAAGAAGGCAAATTCCTCTTTGTAAAGTCATGAGTGCCCCTCATTTCTCTTATCAAGATGCTTTTCTATTCTATAAACACTAGTCGGTTGCACTCATCTAGTTTTTAAACTTCGAAAGACATGACAATTTCATGTCATTATACTCAACTCTCACGAAAGGCCCACACCCGAAAGTTACGTCAAGGACAACTGCTGCTGATACCACTAATGTAACATCCCAATTCTCATACTTGATATTACTAAATAAATTGAAAACTGTAACATTTTACAGTCATTCATTGAAAATATAAAATATCTCACATTAATTACATAAATTTTAAACTCAGATTATTTAAAGTATAACCCGAGTTTTTTCTTTACTATCCTTCCTCCTCCGTCTTCACTTGTATTGGATTAGACGACGCTCACTTCATCTGCTCCCGTATAACAAATACGTTATACATCATCGCAAAAATATGATTTTTCCGGTACATGCACAAATAAATAAGGTGTCAGCTAAACCAGGGCACCCATTATTGTAAAAGAGGCATGATACCACCTTACTACGCCTAACTCTATCTTTATGCAAATGATTTTGTTTTGCTCGACTCAATATATCGTACGTCTAACGTGATGGAAGTCTCGATTGGTCGTGCACTTGTATGACCCTCCACTCTCCTCTAAAAATCATGGCCAAGATACAACTTTGTCAACACAAGGTTAGGTCCGTAACACTATTGTCCAAAGGAACATCGACAAGGACCCTCCTGCCACCTCTCCACCAACCTAACTATCCTTCTCTACTTGAGATTGGAGAGCAGTTAGAGTATCCAGGATGAACCTTCCATACAGGACCCTCAACATCAACGTGTACACAATACCATGCTATCAGCACTAAAATCTCTCCGCAGAACCATATCATGTTCATAATTTTCCAACGCTACCAATAACCAACCATTACAAATTTCTCATACTACTCATATCACTGTGTCAATGCAAATTTCATATCAACATCATAAAATACATTCATCACAGAAATCATACAAGATAGAATATATTACAAACAAATTAACAATAATAAAATGATTACTAGTGTCACGGCGAAGATCAAAATGGTTTTTGAAGATCATTAAAATCAATCTTAATAAAATTTCCTTGGGGAAACAGAAGTTGAATCGGCAGAGCCGGTTAGAACAACTTCTCATCTTCAGGGAAACTGCAATAAAAATTAAAATAGAACAATTAAAGTTCTGGGGAACAAGAAGTTGCAGTTCTGTGCAGAGCCGGTTAGACAAACTTCTTCATCCTCCAGGATACAAGTAATTAATAATAAGAAAATAACATGGTCTGGGGAGAAAGAAGTTGAATCTGGCGAGCCGTTAGACAACTTCTAATCCTTCCAAAAATAAAACGAATAAGAAAAACATAAAAGTATGGGGAAACACTAGAAGTTGAATCTGGACAGAGCCCGGTTAGACAACTTCTAATCCCATCCAAAATAAAAACGAATAAGGGAAAACAATATTCAAGTTATGGGGAAACAAGAAGATGAATCTGGCAGGCCGGTTAAGACAAACTTCTAATCCATCCAAAAAATAAAAACTAATAGGAAACAATATAAGTATGGGAGGAAACAAGAAGTTGAATCTGGCAGAGCGGTTAGACAACTTCTAATCCATTCCAAAATACAACAATAAAAAATTAATGCACTCAATATGGCATAAACATATCAACATACATTTATAACTATCACACTTGGATCTAAACAAGAAGATGTCTCATCAAAAATTCAAATCTCATCAGAAACAAAATACTTCACTTCAAGATTTAAGATAAACTAAAGCACATATAAAGACTCAAAATAATATCAAACAAAATGTACTCCCATTACCTCTATTCCAGACTTAGGTTCCTCTCTCTCAAACCGTTCTCCAGACCTTCCAGAATTTCCCCTCTTCAACTAGATATTCCCTCACAACTCTCTCCTCTCACAATGTCCCTAGAATTGTGGTGCAAATCTTCATCCTCCCCCTTGGCTATTTTATAGCCAAAAATTTGAATATCATTTTTACTATTCATTTTACTATTCACTTTTACATTCATTTTTACTATTCAAAACTTATTTTTTTATTCACATCTTATCTATGAATAATGATTCTACGTGGGTGTCCTCGTCCACAATTTATTTTACTATTTTTTTTTTTAAACTATTCACTATTCACATTCACTATTCACTATTACAGTTACTATTTACATTCATTCATTTTTTTTTTTAACTTTTAAAATAAATTCTCAAATTTTTAAACTCCTTCCTTTGAAATTATTATTATTGTTACCTATCATAAATTTTAATTTTTTTTTTTTACCATACTTTTATTAACTTTATAAAAATAAAAATAAAAAATAAAAAAATAACTATTTATTAAATTTAAATATTTTTTTTTTTTTCATGGGTCTTACAGTCCATCCCCTTAAAATCATATTATTAGATTTAAGATACATTAATCTATATTAACATAACATTTACTGACGTACTACGTTTTTAAGATTCTCTCATTAACAATTATCTGTTTAAAGGAACCCTAGAAAACTGACTTTATACCACTCTCTTTTGGTCACCGCGATAGACTTTCAGATAAGGTAAGAACAAAACAAGGAGAATCAAACTATACAATCTAATTAAACACCAAAACATACTTAAAATCTTAGTTTAAATTACTCCATTTGAATATTCAATCTATTTTAAGTAATTCTCTAAATCAAAAATAATAACAATTTTAAAAATTTAGCCTTAATTTCACGAGGGTGAATGCTCTAACATCGATCTTGCAGATTCCAAACGATGGAAGAGTTCGTGGGAACTTTTCTGGGAATATACCATTAGATACATACATGCATGAAGACAGTGATTTACTAACCTCATGCTTCTGTCTTGTTCTGAATTTACTTTAAGTGTAATTATACGTCCTTTGACCCTAATCTTGAATGTAATTAAGGATAATCCTTATCCAATTAAGACATGCTGTGGTAGAATTTGTGGTCAACACAATGAAGAAGGAGGAGCTAGCTTGGAACTGTACGGAATGTTTTTGCTTTGATGATTAAGATATTGTATCACCATGTACGCATATGGCCAATCATGGACATGGCATATGCGAAAACTCAGCTTTGGTTCAATGAATGAATATTTATAGCACCGATCGAGACCATGATTCATATTGAATGAATATACTGCAAATCAATCAACAAAAAGGAGTGCATGCATATAGATATACGTAACAACATACAAAACAAGAAAACTATTACACTGATTGTCTCAACATCCTCAAAACCTTAAACTAGCCTTGTTTCAGACACAACACAGATTAATTCCTTGAAGGTTGTTCTAGGATCAGAATTCAGCATCCTTGTCTTTGGAGGGGCTATTTCCTCTCTCTTGGTTGGCTGATCTATCTACTTCTAGTTCTCTATATCTGTGCAAATACCTTCTCAATGGGTCTGCATAGTCATCAAAACCAAGGGAGCCTAAGGCCCAGCATATATCATCTCCGTTCACGGTCTTTCTCCTCTCCTTTCTGCACTTCTCTGATGCCTCACTCGTCACAAAGCTTATAAACTCCGACACACACTCTTGCATTGTTTCCTTTGATTCCTTTGAGATTTTTGCATTAGGAGGCAGAATCTGCTTCATGATCCTTCCAACATTGGCTATTGGCAACAGACGGTCTTGTTCCCTCATGCCACTGTTTTCAGGATTAGAGGAACTGCCTCCGACATTGTCCACCATCTTTGGAAGGAAGCAAGAGGAAGGAATTCAACTCCAACAGACAACATGTCAAGGCTTTGTGAGTGTGTGTATATATATATATATATAAAGTGATTATTCTTCGATTGAAAACATGTGACTAAAGAAAAAAAATAAAGATAAGTGCACATGCAAGGAAGCCCAGTCACAGTGACACATGAACATTAATGTTGTGAGTTAGTTAATTCAAGGTGACATGCGAATGATGCCAAGGCGGTCGGCTAAGATTGTGGGGTCTGATGCCGCAACACTGATTAAATGAATTGGAGTTCAGAGTCATTTTTTGTTGCAAAGTTTAGACAAAGTCCACCCAATGGATCCATCCATTTCATTGGCTTCGTCACTGCTAATGGATGCTGAGGAGGCTTTTCAGGCAGTTCAAAAGAGTGAAGATCACTCTCACTATCCGTTCGAAAGCCCTAAGCTACAACTAATTTATTCATCTCTATGGTACAACAAAGATCATGAATCATGATTCACCCAATATTCTTCAACGTATGAGTTATAATATTACGCACTTTTTCTTTTTTGAGGTAAAATAATAATAATAACAGCTTATTTGATTCCTCTTGCTACAATTTTTCTTTTCTATACAAGTTTTATTATTTCAACTAGTTGAATTGGTCGAGATGTATTTCAATTCATGCTTTTTTCTTTTTAGTTTTTTTTTTTGTTTGTTTTGGATACGACGTTAAGTTACTTCAAATATCTATACCATTTTTCTTAACATGCCTTCCGTTAACTAATTTAAGTCTTCGTCTTCACTCCACCGTTCGGAGATATACATGTCAAAGGTTATCCAATACTAAAGTCAGTAAACTGTTTGTACAAGAGTTTGGTGTAATGTTAATAAATGCATAGTAAATGCGATTACCTACCTCCTACATTTTACATATATTTATAGTTTTTGGCATGAGTTTGAGATTAGTGAAATCTTAACTTCGGCTCATCTGAGCCCAATTACCTCTAATTACCATTTACATTAAGGGTGTTGCTCCCTCCACCACCACCACTTCTCCCTCCACCTCCCCAACCTTCTCCAAAAAAAAATTAATTATAAAAATATCTTTTTTTACTTTTAACCCTATTTATTTACTTTAAACTCAAACTCTATCTTTCTACCTATTTTTACTTTTCACTCAATCCCACCTCCCAACTCACCTTCTCTCTCTTCCCACCCCCCAACTCCACCACATCCCTTTGTTTTAATTACAAAAATATTAATATAATAAAATTATATATTTCATATAATTAAAATAATAAATAATTTTTTATATAATTATAAAATTGTTAAAGAATACAAATATCATATATAAAAAATATATATTATATAAACACATTAAAACAAAAAACTAATTATATATAACTGCAAAATACAAAAAAATATAAATATAAACTAATAACAATAAAGATCTTCAAAAATACATTATTAAAATACATCAAAAATATATTCAAAAATAATACATCAAAACATATAAATTACATTATTAAAATATCTCCAAAATAAATATAAAAAAAATAAACTAATAAAAATAAACTGGAAAATAACATGTAACTTAAATGGATGTGAGCATCCGTCAACGAATGTCAACATCCATTTAAGGCAAAACGGATATCGACATTCGTTTTCCCTTAAACGGATGTTGACATCCGCTGAGGGATGCTCACATCCGTTTAAATATTATATGTTTATTTTTTTAGGGTTTATTACGCACCTTCACGACGAATCCTTCGAGCACCACCACACCACCACCACACACCGATCTTGGCACGGCTGATCAATTGCTTCCACCACCACTTGCAATCTCTCACTAAACACATCAACTAATGAAAGTCCACCACACTCTAAGACCACAATTCTATCACAATTAAAGAATGAGAGGAAGAAGTGGAACGTGAAAAAAAGGAAGAAGAGCACAATGAAACAATGAGGGAACGAACGATAAAGAGGAAGAAGAGTTGCCGCTGCATACATGGAGATGATTGAAGTGGGTAGAAGTTAAAAAATATTAACCCTAAAATTTTACTAAGGGTAAAATAGGAATGAGAAAATAAAGAGAGGAGTAAAACAATAATGGGGTGGTGGAGGGAGCAACACCCTTACATTAATCCTTGTAGAAAAACATGTTTATTGACTTAAGGTCGGACATCGCTGCTTTCGTTTGTCCGGTCTTGCCTATTGGTTATGCTACATTCATTCACTACTTAGTTTTCCTTCTTTAAGAACATCCGACTTGCTTGGTGTGGAGTGTCATGTATGGTCGTCTGGACCATACGGAATAATTTGAAACATATATATAGGTTTAATTATTTTTTATAAACACATAAATATAAATATAAATATATATATATATATATATATATATATATATATATATATATATAATAATGTTAGAAATTAAAAATGAGTTGGAAGTTTTATCTAGGTGAGTAAAATAAAATATATATATAAGTAAAAAGATTTATATAATTATCATCTTTAAAGTTTTGAAATGAAAATGATATTCAATTATATTAATGTATTCTATATTTATATTGGTGTACAATTTTCTTTGTTTCTATCTAAGAATCTAACATAAGTCAAAAGTTCATTTTGATAACCAATTCAAAATAAAGAAAATATATTTTGTTGTGTATAACGATTCTTATAATTTCAAGTCACTAAACATATCCTTGTATAATGTAATAAAGAAAATTAAGTTTCTCATAATTCAAACAACTCTAACATACAGAGAAAAAGATCATACAAAATCACTTTATAGTTACTTTTTTAACACGCATGTCATCTTGATGCAAAAGCTGCTCAAATTTTCATAATATATTCCCAATAAATTGACTGCCAAAGTATAATCTTCAACGAATTACTGTATATCATCATATGTTTATTGTGATCACAATGTCCATCACTGTTAATGGATATGAAATTAATATAAAACTTTGCATTTTCAATATAAATAAGTTGATGATAACAATCCCTATTTTCATAATATTTTCAACAACATATAAATATGTTACTAACATTTCGTCACAAGTTACAGTTAAAAATAATTATTATTATTATGAAATTTTATAATTAATATAGAACAACATTATGATTAATGTAAAATTTTTATTACTTTGATATTGTTTAATATTAATCATAAAATCGTATAGCTTTTTAACATATAAGCAAGAAAATAAGATAAAGGATGTATTATTGAAAAAAATTAAATAATAATATTTACTATATCAAAAATTAATAAAGACTTAAAACTTCATTAAAGCCAACAATAATATATATTAAGTAATACGATGTTTAGAGGAGGAATCATAAACTGAGTCACATTATGTGCACGTAGCTTCCTCAACAAAAGTGAGAGATAGGTTGAAATTAGCTTTGTACATATTAGTTTTTTCTAACATTATATTATTGTATTGTGTTGATTATAGCTAAACATTTTTATTTATTATTTTATTAATATTATATATAAATATAAATTTGTATTTTATATTCACTTGAATATTTTTTATAATATATTTCTTTATGTATTTACAATAAATAGTAAACTATTAATATTTATGTATTTCTTGTGATTGTTATATTTAAAAGTATAATATATTTTTTGTAAGATATTAATATTTAGAATTAAAATATTAAAAAAATTGTTGGTGTTTTTTTATTTTTTAAAATTTATGTTGGAAATTTTGGGGGAAGTCAGTCCATGTAAAACCTGATCAGTGGGTAAAAATTAAGGGAATTAGCTCTAATTGTCACTGGTAGTTTAAAAATTACTAGTGATATTTATTATGATGACAAACTTATTTAATATTTATTAAATGTTTTCCTTTGTGTGTGTAAGAAGTAGAGTTGTCAAAACGGGTCATCCGGTTCGATCCGGCCCACCACGGGTTGGTCAATAGTGAACCAACCAAACCCGACTCATTTATTAGCGAGCCAGAAAAATTTGAATCCGACCCAACCTACCACGGATTGGTGAGTAAACGGGTTGGTTCACTTAATTACAATTTTTTTAAAATAAAAAAAATTACAAACTTTCTATAATTTAAATCTAAACAAATTTCACTCCCTTGATTCTTAGGAAAACTAATAAAAAAAATTCATTTTTTCTTTTAAGTTTTACTTATTTCTTCCCCCATAAAGATAGATATTGAATAGAATGAACTATTTTTTTTCATTAAAATTCAAAAAAGGAACGTTTAAATATCCTTCAAAAAACAAGTAAATAAATGCGAAACATATAAAATGCAGTTAATCCTGCTGCAGAACAAGCTATTATTGCAAAAATTGGTGAATACAACCAACTATCATTAAGAATCTCATCCTTAGACCAAAAACAGGCAAAGGGTGGAATACTGCAAAGAGAGTGTACCCACTAAAAAAAAAGTTTTTGTAATTGGTACATGGGTTGTTTAATTAATTTTAAAAATAAGAAACTTAAATATTTTTTTCAAGCAAAAACAAAATAATAAATCTTTTTTATAAAATTAAAATTAAATTTTAATAAAATAAAATTAGGTAGGTGGGTTGGTGGGTCAACCCGGCCCACCACGGGTTTAACTCGCATGAGCTGGGTTGAAATCTGATTCGTATAAAAAAATAATATTTTTCAAATCTAACCCGGCTCAAACCCAACCCGGCTCAAACCTGTGGTGGGACAGATTGACCCGCGGATTATGACCCATTTTGACAGCTCTAACAAGAAGTGATAGACAATAATAAATTTTATCTTTTTTATTATTCTTATTGTTATAATTTATTTTTATAAACTGATGTTATTTGATTATTGTAGTAAATAAGCTTACCCATAAATTTGAGTAGGGATGAAAAAAAAATCTCTACTATATTTACAAATAAAATTTGAAGTGGACACAGATATTTTAATACTTGTTTATAAATAAGTTAAGTGCAATTATTATACTATTATACGTAGATTTTCATTACTTTTAAAAAAAATTAAAAATTAATTTATATTTTATTAAGT